AAAGGCTCCCTGAACTCAGCCACCAGCCAGCACGGGCAAACACACCGAGCTGGAGAGCAGAGGCAAAACCCGTCACCCTTTGCCACGACCACGGGCTGCAGGACGCGCGTCCCCCAGGCTGGCTGGGCACCAGCACTGCCAGCACCCACCGCCTGGAGCCATCTCAGCCTCTCCCACCGGGTCACATCCCACCACAACGCAGCGACAGCACCCGGACGCAGAAATCACAGCACCAACACGCACCCGCCCGCCCTCCCCCAGAGCCCACCGCCCGCACCGGCACCTCGCATGCCCGGCTCATACCTGCCCACCACGTCCACAGTCAGGAGCTTTCCTGGGCACCTCCCGCAGCCCCTTTAAAGCCTCCCCAACCCCCGCCCGGCTCAGCTGGGCAGACCCAGCCCAGGTGCAGAAAGTTTTGGGGAAGGACTCCTCTGCCCCAGCCCAGGTGCAGAAAGTTTTGGGGAAGGGCCCCTCTGCCCCAGCTCAAGTGCAGTAGGTTTTGGGAAGGGCCCCTTCCTGCAGCAGGGCCCTTATTTGTCAAACCTTGTGGGGTTTTGAGTGAAGGGTCAATGTGTGCAACGGGTAGGAGATGAACTTCAAACATGAAAGGAAGGTCACCTTTGTCCTGTGGACAGCAAACCCCACTGTTCCCATGGGCTCTGGAAGCAGACAATGCTGGCAGGCCTAAAAAGGAGCTGGACAACTTTGTTCATAAACAGAGACTCCAGGGGGTGCTGGGATGTGTTCTCCAACATTGTTAATCCAGCAATCATGATTATTTGGGAGCATGAAGGAAGTGGTGCCAAGAGGGGACCGGTTTGCAGGGGTCCACAAGTCACCTGTCCCATCACTGCTGTTTGCTGCTGCTGGGGGTGGTCATCTGGAATTTTTTCAGGTCGTGGTGAAACAGTGTAACACAGGCAGAGTGTGCAGCCTGCACAGCAGCTCCAGCATGTACCAATGGCATGTGGGCAACAGCACCCAACACACCACCAGCTTATTCATCTTCAGGTTTCTTCGTCTTACTTCTAGGAAGGCAAGTTTCTCCTCGTGGACACGCCATTCCAACTTGTGCCAAGCAGCTTCTCCATGATATCCTCACAAAACAGCAAGGTGTTCCCTCACTCACACCCCACAGGCACCAGCATCACTTTGTCTGTGGCTCCTTTGCAGAAAAAAGCAGCCTCTCATAGCAGCCACCCATGTCCCACCTGTGTCTTGTCCGTGTGACCTGTGGGTCTGGGATAGGGACATGGGAGGTGCCACAGAGGGACGTGAGAACCTGATCAACTGCCAAAAGAGTGATTTGGGAAAAGGCATAAAAGCAGGAGGGTTAGTCATAAAAACAAAGGAGATTGTAAGCTAGACATGGGAAGCAAAATGGTAGCTAAGGGAGCGAGATTTGAGAGCAGGATCCAGGGGAACTGAGGCAGAGTGAGGTGATGCAGGCAGGCCCTGGGGGCTGCTCATGCCAAAGCCAACACAAGAGCAGCAAGAAGGGCCTTCCTTACCAAGGGCTTGGTTAGTATTTCCCACAGCACATCTCCCTGCACAGGCAGTGAGTCAGCTGCTGTGCTCAACAGCTGTGCTCCCTGTGGTCCAGCTTTTACATCTGCTCTGTTCTCCCAGCTTTACAATTAACCACAAGGGCAAGAAATGCTCAAAGGGCCCTCACAAGGTGCCTGGGCTGGGAGCTGTAAAGAAAGGAAAAAACCCAGAAGTGTTACTAAATAGGAAGAAAGAGCTATGCATAAAAAGGGTTTATTTGCATGAAATTCCTGGTGATTTCCTACGTGAAGGCAAAAGAGAGACTGAGCAAGCACCATGTGTGTCACGTGTGTGTGTGTGTGTGTGTGTGTGTACACTAGTAGTGTACACTACCAACAGCAGCTGAGGGGCTGATATGAAGCAGGAAAAGCATCTATGAAGCAAGGCTTAGGAGCACAGTGAAAATGGCTTATGTACATATCTTTTGAGGGTCTTGGCCCCAGGGTTGTGTGGATGTGGATTCCAACCCAGCCAGAACCCCAGCAGTGCTCCACAGGGACACAGGTTGGGCCATCTGCTGTGGCTGAAATGTGCACAGAAACCTCAAAAAGGCACCAGGGTTGTGGGGAGAGGACAGGGATTTAAAAAAAAAACATCACCTTTGCGTTTTGCCACATGGCAGGAAACTATGGCTGCAAAGACAGATTTCAGAGAGCTTGGATTCTTGTTAACCCTTGGAACATCAATCAAAGCATTCACCTGAGATGAGTATTCCTGTTTTCTTGGGCAAAGGAAAGAGCTGAAGGTGGATTTTGAGCAGTCTGGTAAAATCTGTGCCCCTTGTTCCCCTGCCCTGCTGATCGGTGAAGGAGAGATGGCAGGGACTGCATGCCCTCCAGTGTCCTGGGAACTTCTCTGGAGCATTGGAGTGGGGCACAGAGCAGGAGGTGCTCACACTGGGCAGCCCAACCAGGCTGAAACATGAATCCCCTTTGCTCAGCATTTCATAGCTCAGGCAGCTGCAGGCACACCCAGAAGCAAATTTTAGGAAATTTGAGAACTCAGGTGTTAGACAACTTCACAAGCACAGTGTTGATGGTACAGGAGCTGGTAGGAACTTTAGGGATGTCTGCTTTGCTTTTACACAACATCTGGAGCCTTCAGGTGGGATGGGAAGGCACAGTCCTGTGTTGGGACATGGGTCCTTGTGTGATGCACAAGGAAGAGACAGCCCCAAATACTGTGACTAAGGCAGGGACCTTATTTGTGGAGCAAAGTGCTTAAGTTTAGACCTAGAAACACTTGCCAGCAAGTGACTCAGACTCATGGGTGCCTGTGGCACAGCATTCACTCTTGGAACAAAAGAGATGTGAAATACTCTGATCAGGCTCCCAACGAAGCAAAGACATCCCTGTGCTGGAGACCAGGAGTCAGGAGCTGCCTCCAGGTGCTTGTTGGCTGGATTGAAGAAGTGTCTTCTCTCTCGAGTCAGTAGGTGACCTCCAGTGGTCCCTCCAGCCAGGCAGTCCAGTCTCTACCCTGCCAGAGCTGCTGCCAACACTGGGCCAGAGCAGCGGGAAGTGACAAACTGTTAGTTACACTGAAGACAACCGGAATGAGGGGATACAAAGCTGCAACACCAGGAGTCAGGGCTGTGGTCTCCATGAACAAAGCAGCAGGAATAGTGCTAGTAGTGTGAGGGGATAACTGGTTTTACTGGTGAAAATGCCCTGTTTCAAGGTTTCTTTTTGTAATATTAGCTAAGAAGTGGTTTGCAGCAAAAGAAAGGTGCAATGGAGAATGGTGTATGGGCCACTGTCACCCACAAACACAGCACTGGTGTCTGAAATGCTGAGCCTAAAGAGCTCAGTCTCCCAAGATTTCACCATCAGGGAGGCAACCATGAAAAGTACTAAATAATAAAGTACTATTGAGGGTTGCCCAGTAACTGAGAGTGCAATAGTCTAATGCTTTTTCTGTGAGCTTGTACTTGGGTAAATATTTAGGCTTTTAAAGCTTTAAATGACAGGAGACATTGCATAAGGACACTTGGTGCAAAGACCTGGACTATGTTTACTCACAGATGGTCTGTTATTTATAGGGTCCTGTAAAGGCCTTTCGGTTCGTGCATCCTTGTGCAGATTGCAGACAGGGGTGGTCTTTGGGTTCGGGGATGAGCCACTCTCTCCTAGGACTGCATTCACAAAGACCAGCTTCCAAAAAGCCCTGGTCAACCACAGCCTTTGGTCAAGAGAGGCGAGGCAGCAATACCTCAAACAGGCCTGGATTGCCCTATTTCATTGCAGCCAGATGGCTTTGGTCTTGCTTTGGATTTTTTTTGTAAGACATAAATTAGATTTTTACTGAAATCAGGCTGGTAAGGCTTCAAACCGGGAGGAAAAAAAAAAAAAAAAGGAAAAAAATTCCCAGAGGAAATACTGCCTAGCAATGAGAAACTCCCAGAGGCCGAGGTAAGAGCACTTACTGTGAATAAGTGGGTATTAGTGCCTTCTGTTGACAGAGGCAGCACTAAGTGGGCATCCTGTCTGGCTGCAGCAGCCTCTGATTGCCCAGCAAGCAGCAATCTAAAATAAATATTTCCATCTCCCAGGCAAGAAGCTTGCCCCCTTGCCTCTCTCGCAGCGGCTCCGTCCCTGAGCAGGTACCTCTGTGCAGCCCAGCCTGCCCGGGGCTGCCTTGGAGCGCCGCACACCGACTGCGGCTCAGGCACGGCTCAGGAGAAGAGCCGAGCACCCCTCAGTGGGCTCTCTCGCGTCAGCGCTGCCGGTCGTCTTTAGAGCTGCGAGCGAGCACTGGGATAAAGTGGCCGGGTTTTGTCCCCAGGAGATTCAACAGGAGATGCGTTGTGGATAATGGTAACAAGAAATTTAGATGGGCAACAGATGGGTAGGAGAAAGGACAAGGGGGTGGACATCACAACTCCCATTCACTCACAGGCACCACAGGGCTCCTCTGCATCCTTGCAGGATGGTCACTGACCTCACTGGGCTTTGGGTCAAACAGATTTGCAAGTCGTTGTCTGATCCTTCACTGAAAGCCGTGGTAAAATAACGAGATTAAATAACAAGGCAATGTATTTCTGAGTGGTGAAAATCTTACAGTACTCTTTATTTATCTTAATCTAAAAATACAGAAGATGGGAACAAACAAACAACTGACAAGAAATACAACCTCAGCTTAACTTTTGATTACTGGAAGAAAACTCGGTTTCATCATATGAATGTTCTGTTGTCCTGAAGTATGAACAGTTTCACTGGCTTTGTACATACACTCAGCAAATGTGGCAATAATCGTGCTGTTGTAAGAGCAGGGCAACAACATTGCTGAATCCCTTTGAGCCATGTTGATGATTGTGAGCAGATGTGCTAAAAGATACATTTTTTTCTCTGTGAAGGATGAGGGGGACCTTCAGTCTTAGAATTTTGTATTTGAAGAGAGAAAAATTATCCAGATATCAAACAGCTTTCATTTTTCTACACAAAGGAGAAGGGAATTGCAAACCAAAGAGAGATTTATACATGCAATACTGTTAACTTAAATTAGCATCATTTTTTAAAGCCACATTTTTTCCCAAAGCCAGACATTGCTTCTGCAGCTTGTCCAGTCGCTTTTTCTACTCCATCTTGTGCCATCTTGGCAGCCTTGTCAATAGCTGCAAGAGAGGGAAAAAGAGAAGCAGGAAGTTGGGAAAACGCAACGTTGTTAGATATTTATGACGGAAGAGAGGTGCGAAGATGATTAGACTACAGAAATGTAGAGATACATCTTTAAAAAAGATTTTGGCAATTTTGCTGCCTTCCCACCTAATGTCACCAAGTGCCCAAGCCCACCCTTCTCATCACACCCATGGGGCCATAGAGGGTGTCAGCTCTAAGGAGATACTACCAATGCATTTTAGTTTCATCAAGCATTTTAGACCCTGAAATTGATAAGCCTCCCCTCATTCTTAGAAAGTTATTAAATTGTTTAAAAAAAAAGAAAATTGAGCTTAGTTTTTAGTTTGACTTGTTCCCAATCCCCAGCAACAAGATGCCAACATTTTCCTGACGGCACCTTTCCAGCTGCAGGATCAGCTTGGATCAACCCCAGCTGCTGCCTCAGCAGGTGTTGGCTGGACCTGGATGGAGCCCTGCACTCAGGGCTGAGAGGGGGGTGGGAGCAAGATGTGACACAGGGCTACCTAATGCTCAAGAAAGAAGAGCAAAGTTTTGTTCATGTTGTTCCCACAAGTTTTCTAAAGAGGAAGCCAATGTCTGAACGCTGTGCAGGAGACTCAGTGTCCAGGGAGTGTCAGCTACTGCCTGCCAGTACCTGTGGACGTACTAAGCAACAGATCCTGAAATCCTTCCCCATGAGATTTCTAAAAGCCCCAAATTGTCACTGAAACCAAGGCCTTTTAGGCTGAGAACACCTGTGGGGCAGTGGAGAATGAGCACTGCCCACTGCCACCTTGTGTTGAGCTGCTCCGTCACTTCTTGATTTGATCATTGCTCCTACCTTTCTGGCTTGCATCTGTAATCTGGTTGACTGAATCCTGAGTGGCCTGTCCCAGGCTGTTTGCTGTAATTAAGGTAAAAAAGAAAAAAAATCATTTCCAGCTGTTCCCCCTTATGGTTACAGGAATTCCCAGTGTCAGTTCCCTTTTCTGCACGCCCTCAGCAGGCTATGCCCCTGGTGAGTGACCAGGCTGGTAGAGAGCAGGTTGAGGCTGTGCCCTTTGTCTGTGGGCACCCTGGGAACTGCATGTTGCCAGAGCAGCTTGCTATGAGATTAGTGTTCACCTAGCACCTATGGTCAGCTGAGCAAACCAATGACAGATAAGCAGGAGATAAAGAAGCAAAGATTAGCGGTGAGTTGGAATGATGACATTTAGCTGCAAGCTGCTTATTTTACACTACACTTGCTTTTATTGATTTCTAGCTTATTGTGCTTGGGGAAGGTTGGCCATGTAGCATGCATTTTCTCTGTGGGCCATTTGGGAATAGGGCCTCTTCCAAAATGGAAGCAAATGCATTAAACAAGAGCAAGACAGGAGAAGGGAGATTTTATAAACAAGATATAAATAGAAGAAGAAGAGGAGAAGAAGCTAGAAACATAACAGATCAACTCCAGAATATAAAGCATTAAAAAATTGAGATGCAGTTGTAAGATACCTGATAGTTTATGAAAGAGCGAGGTGCCCTCTCAATGGCATGAATACATTCATACCATAGCAAATGGCAAAGACTATTTTATTCTTCAGAAAGGAATACTATCATGTTTGTGGATCTACTGTACACTTGTCCCCAGATATATGGAAACTTGCTCTAACTTTGAAGAAACTAGTAAGGTTTCTCACATATTTCAGCTATACAACACAGTGTTTGCAGGATGAGAGTCCAGGACCATACCTGATAAAATTACACACTGCTAGGAATATGCTGCACACAAATACTGTAGGAAATACACTATAAAATGCTGGAGTAAGCTATACACATTTTTCAATCTTTCATTTAAAGGACAGGCTATTATGCTTTGCATTGAAAAGTTGATTTCCAACGCACAGCACTAATGATAAAAACTTGGCCCTACGACATGGGCATAACTATTACAGAAATGTTCATATGGGGTTTTTTAAACCCTGCACAGCCTGGTGATTACTGCTGAAGAACACAACAAAAACATACTTGTACTAACATATTACTAACTGTGCATTGCAATCAATGTAGTTATTACCAGAAGGCACTGACAGGTCAAGTGGCAAACATTAATCAAAAGTTAACTGCAACTTATTAAAAGGAGAGCAGGTTAAAAACCACTACAGAGCATGAGAAAAGACCACCCTGCGTAATGCAAAAGCTAAATACAGAAGGTTATTATTACCAAAAGCTGCTTCACTGCCCTAAAAACATTAATGTTTTGAGGAGTGATGGATGTTGGACAACGCTCAGCAGCCACAGAGGGAGCAGTGGGTGGGCAGGTGGAAGCAGCTGCCCACAGCAATTGGAGAGCCATGGCCAGCCTGGGCTCTTCCCTAGGTGATGGCCAAGACTTGCTTCCCGAGAAGGGAAGGAAACAGAGGAAGCTGTGTCCTGCTAGCATTGATGCAGCTAATAGTGTCACTTCAGATCGTGGGTTTTCTGAGCGAAAGTAGCAACTAAACCCCCCATCCAAATATACAATAATATTTTATCTTTCTTACCAGCATCTTTTGCTGCAGATTCAGCCTGTTCCTTCAGTCCCTGAAAGCTTCTTCCCGACATTGTGGCTTCTGATGCCTGTTAAAAGTCCTCTGCTTTGATAAAACTAAGCACCTGGTGATGTATAGCACACTATGTGAGAGTGTCCTGACTTGTCCTGGTTTTTATACGTCTGCCACGAGACCTGCTGATTCTTTTGGGGGTGATTGGTACAATGGGTGGAGTTCGAATGTGAGGAATGAGAGCTGAAAATAGAGAAAAGTTGTTTATTTACCCTCCCTGATGAGAGGGTGTGCCCAGATAGAGACTTCTGCTTCATAGCACTGTCTTTGTTAATTTGTGGTTGTTTGGGTTTTTTTTTTAATCAAAACTGAAAAAAACCTGTTCCACCATCACAAGACAGAGAAAAGCCACTGAACTGAGCTTTATAAAGAATGCTGGAATACTACTGAAGTGGTAGTGCCTGGGCATGGCCAACTTTCGTCCCTGCCAGGCTGATTTCCTTCTCTTTCCTTCCTGAGAAGAACCTCATGAGAACAGAAACCAGCCCAAACTTGTTGTAGTTTCTAGCAGCTTTAATCATAATCCCCTTTTCTTGTCAGGTGGGATACTCTTAGATGGTGAGGATTGTCACTTATGTGTACTTTCATAAGGAAATGATAATCTGGTCATCTTTCCAGTTGGCTGCTCAAGGTGGATTGCAAATGCCATCATCACTGAAGGCCTTGCCTGGGTGAGGCAGGTAACCAGTGCCAGCACTAGTAGTTCTCAGGGGAAGGGAAAAAAAAAGAAGCCAAATTAGCAAACCCACCTTTTCCTAATATGGCTTTTTGGTACTGACTTTGTTAGTACAGAAATTATGCTTAAAATCACTTCCTTTCCTAGCATCACCACATGAATAAAAGTTTCTGGCTTTAACCTCTGGCATTTCCCAGGTTTCCTCTAGCTTTTGGAATTAATATTTCCTGCCATCAATCCCCAGTACAAAGGTGCTTTGTACAAGTGAACTATTGGCAGAGTTGGGAGCCAAATGGCTCGCTGGTTTTGAGGGGTTTGGGTTCCTCGTTGCCATTTTCTGGCGTACAAAGTGTCTCTGTTCAGATGGCCACATATTTGTCTTCCTGAGTAAAGATCTGTGTTGGGAAATAGGCATGAGAACAAGATGCCATGGATAAACCAGTGTGGGCACTGACAGTTCTCATAAGTTTAGTACTTCATTAGTACCCAAGTGAGGAAGAGTGGCAGAAAACAAGGTTCCCTGCATTCCTCTGCCGCTCCTGTTCCGCCTGTCATTTCAGAGAGCTCCTCTCAGCTTTGGCACCACTCCTTTGTTATTTCAAACAGCAATCCTCTTTCCCCCTCGACGGGTCAATTAGAATTCTAATTATATATGCACATCAGGTATCTTTTTCAATTCCTTGCAGATTTCTTTTTTGGAATGATTTTCTTACTTGGATTTTCAAAAACTCAGATAGAAGACAGCCAGTACTGTGGGGCTCTGGCATTTTTTTAACAAAGCCACTAACATGGACCTACTTACCTTTCTTACCCAAAGCTGAGAAGGCAGCCACAGCACAGCCCACACCAAATGGGAGGATTTCAGCTGTTCTCAGCCCCTCTGTCAGGTCACTGCTGCCTTGAGTTACTCTGTGTGGAGTGTTAGTGAAGGAAGGAGGAGGCTCTCTGATATCCATCAGGCACCTTGTCACAGCTCAAGAGAGGACATGCCCAGGCTCCAGCAGCAAATACCTTCCAGCTGCCCTCCCAGCTCTTTTCCAAACTGCTGGATTTTCAGTGCAAGGGCCCCGCAGGTGCTGGCTGGGGTGGACTGTCTGAAAGGGACAACAGGAGTTTGGGAGAACATTTCCAGCTGGTGTATGTTTACAACAAGTGTTAAACGTGCACCACATTATAGCAATATTTTAAAGACTCCTAACGAGTTCAGGTAAATATCGCTCTTCAGTTCTCCTCTGACACCTACCTAGATTTCCCCAGCTCCAACAACTATTCTTCCAAGTGGAAATCTCAGCGTTTCAGACTCAATATGGATGTTTGATCTGTGTTGCTGCCTGCTTTACATCCTGCTCAAAACATTAGGAAGCACAAATTTCTGAGTAAAACCTACACTGCTGACAGCATAGCAGAATGAACTCCTTATCTAAGGTAATGTTAGCATTAATATTATCCTGATTCCAAACACTAAAAAGGGAAAAGAAAGCAAATTACCCTTGCCTGGTAGTGACATGGCGTGACCATTATAATGCAGCCCAGAGCAGATGGAAGAGGGACCTTTGGTACAGTAAGTACTTATTTCCATATGATGGGACAAATAGTCTGTGCATCAGGTGGCTTGCAGAGTTACAAAACCACAATAGAAAATTAATGGAATATATTGCATAATATTTATTCACTCTGTGAGTTAGCATTACTTGCCTAAAAATAATGATAAACCCTTTGAACTGATGTTAGATATAGAATAGAGTGCTCAGATACAAACAGGTTCATTGGGCACTGGAAATAGTGGATAACTTCAAACATGCAGTCCAAGTATCTCTGAGTTGAATCTAAGACACCACAGGGAAATTAGAAATTGTTCTGGTTTCCTTTCACACATCTTCTGTGGCATCTTTGAGCACCACCCTCTCATACATCAGCAACATGAACCCTTCTCTTTTGCTACCTGATGAAGGTGAGAAGTAATTGATCAGAGCTACAGCTTATGTTTTACACATGAAAATAGGCAAATGAGGTTAATTAATGAGAAGTGTTGACATTTATTTGGGTTTTCTTAAATTTTAATTTTGCCAGGGTTAGGATTTACAGACAGATATGGTTTCCATCAGCAAGGCAAATGCAACCATGTGTCAGGGCTGAAAGTTTTACACAGATCACTCCAGAAGTTAACAAAGTGTGCCGTGTTCAGCACCCGCAGCTGTGAAAAGAGACTGACATTAGTGTGGAAGGGATATGGTGTTTATGTCAATGAAACAGAATTGTTTTGAGAAATAGAATGGTTTGCTCATAGAAAGATATAATTATTGTAAGTCATATGTTAGTCATTCAAAGGATCAAACTAAAGTTGCTCTAATTAAGCTAAATTTGCCTTTCAGTGCAGATACTGATATACAGTTCTGGGAGAAAAGTGGTCTAATTTATTCTTCCTTTAAACATCCTCCAGGAACCATTAGTCAGCTCTGCTTCAAAACAGGAGATCAGCATAAGGGCAGTGCACATGGAGTTCTTTACCTTCTGGTTTCTCAATCTTGAGGCAGCATCCAGGTGAAGTGTCATGTTAGAATCATAGAATCATAGAATCGATTGGGTTGGAAAAGACCTCCGAGATCATCGAGTCCAACCCTTGGTCCAAATCCAGTCCATTTACTAGATCATGGCACTCAGTGCCACGTCCAATCTGCGTTTAAAAATCTCCAGGGACGGTGAATCCACCACCTCTCTGGGTAGCCCATTCCAATGCCTGATTACTCTCTCTGTAAAGAATTTTCTCCTGATATCCAACTTAAATTTCCCCTGGCGGAGCTTAAGCCCGTGCCCCCTTGTCCTATTGCTGAGTGCCTGAGAGAAGAGACCAACCCCCACCTGGCTAGAACTTCCCTTCAGGTAGTTATAGACGGTGATGAGGTCACCTCTGAGCCTCCTCTTCTCCAGGCTAAACAACCCCAGCTCCCTCAGCCTCTCCCCATAGGACTTATGCTCCAGTCCCTTCACCAGCCTTGTTGCTCTTCTCTGGACCCGCTCCAGCACCTCAATATCCTTTCTGAACTGAGGGGCCCAGAACTGAACACAATACTCAAGGTGTGGCCTCACCAACGCAGAGTACAGGGGAAGGATCACTTCCCTGCTCCTGCTGGCCACGCTATTTTTGATACAGGACAAGATCCCATTGGCCTTCTTGGCCACCTGGGCACACTGTTGGCTCATGTTGAGCTTCCTGTCAATTAGTACCCCCAGGTCCCTTTCTGCCTGGCTGCTTTCCAGCCACTCTGTGCCCAGCCTGTAGCGCTGCAGGGGGTTGTTGTGGCCAAAGTGCAGGACCCGGCACTTGGCTTTATTGAACTTCATCCCATTGGAATCAGCCCATCTCTCAAGTCTATCCAGATCCCTCTGCAGAGCCCTCCTGCCTTCCAGCAGGTCGACACTCCCTCCCAGTTTGGTGTCATCAGCAAATTTGCTGATGATGGACTCAATCCCCTCATCTAAATCATCAATAAAGATATTAAACAGGACTGGACCCAACACAGACCCCTGGGGAACACCACTGGTGACCGGCTGCCAGCTGGATGCAGCTCCATTCACCAGCACTCTCTGGGCCCGACCCTCCAGCCAGCTCCTAATCCAGGAGAGGGTACACTTGTCCAAGCCATGGGCTACCAGCTTTTCCAGGAGTATATTATGGGAGACAGTGTCAAAGGCCTTGCTGAAGTCTAGATAGACCACATCCACAGCCTTCCCCTCATCCACCAGGTGGGTCACCTGATCGTAAAAAGAGATCAGGTTGGTCAGACAGGACCTGCCCCTCCTCCGTGCTGGCTGGGTCTAATCCCTTGTCCATCCTGAAGGTGCTGTGTGATTGCACTCAGGATGATCTGCTCCATAACCCTGCCAGGCACCGAGGTCAGGCTGACAGGCCTGTAGTTGCCAGGGTCCTGCTTGCAGCCTTTTTTGTGGATTGGGGGGACATTCGCCAACCTCCAATCATCTGGGACCTTCCCAGAGAGCCAGGACTGTTGGAAGATGATGGAGAGCGGTTTGGCAAGCTCTTCTGCCAGCTCCCTCATCACCCTGGGATGGATCCCGTCTGGTCCCATAGACTTGTTAGGATCCAGCTGGCTCAGTAAGTTGCTAACTACATCCTCCTGGAATACAGGAGGGCTATTCAGCTCTCTGTCTCTGTCTATCTGCTCTAGAGGCCAGTTGTCTGAGGGCCACCTGTCTTACTGCTAAAAACTGAGGCAAAGTAGGTGTTAAGTACCTCAGCCTTCTCCTTATCTTTGTTAACTATATTTCCCTCCAAGTCCAACAGAGAATTGAGGTTTTCCTTGCCC